TTCAATTTGTTGTCTAAGCTTAGTTGACATGTGAGAAGGAAAATCCATTTAAATTTTACCAAGCTAAAAAGGAATTATTTAAAAAGTTATATTTCTGACTATTGATTTAAAGTGCTTTTCCGAAGCACACTTTTCAGGTCATGCAGATCACGAACGACTTGTAAATTGATAAAATTGCATTTACCTAGAAATGCAGATTAATGGGACACGTAGACACTTGTTGACAGCCCACACCCATCTCCGCCCCCCTGATTTCGTAATTCCCTGGGTTTGGAGCTAGTCAGTCCTTTATTTTAATTTAGCTGCTTCAACTAATGGATTCGGGCTTACGTAACTCCAACACTTTGGCCGTAATGCGGCACTGGGCCAACTAACCCCACAATATCCCTGAGTTCCGCACCCTGGGTGTTTCTGCCATATTGTGTGCTGCAAAAGACTTAATTTGCATTTACAGCAACACTGTGCACATACGCAACTAAATATAGTTGGGGGGGCCTGAACAATTTTATATATCTACGTACGTATATTTAGACCCGTTCCCTTACTCAGTTTTAGTGGCCACTATTGTTGTATGGGGTACGTGCAACGGGGCGGATGGAGGCGTTGCCTATATATAAATTAAGTATACGCAGTGCAGCCCCTCTGTTATGTCTCATTTCTCTCGCTCTCTTTGTGTGTTGTTTGCTGGAACTGGAACTGAAACTGAAACTGCCAACTGAGCCAAAGTCTCTAATGACCACTTTGAGGGTTTTAAAATGGGCGACAGTCAGGCAGCGGCCACATAAATAACACGACGAGCGTCCTGCTCCGCATTTCCCTGCTGCGGCCAGAATGAAATTAACTTATTCATTAGCAAATGGCAGCCCGGGGGCCCGTCTTAAGCACAACAAACACTGTTAGCTATATACACATATATATCTATGTAAATTGAGGCACATAGTAGCACAGATATATGCAAATTTTTGTGTTTATGTCTATAAACTGTTTGCAGCTCTTTTCAAAGGCGCTAAATGTCAGACACTTTCTACACCTTGGTGCGACTTAAGCTGTCTTTTATGCTGGCATACCCTGCGTATGCGTTATGTCAGTCATAACTGTTGGTTCGGTGGCTAAAGGTTGTCATTTTATCATTTAAACTGGTATTTTCCTTTATTTGATTAAATATTTATTTGAATTCTTAAAGAAGTTTACACATTTGATATTACACAAGGTAGATTAATAAATTAACATTACATTTTTAGCACTCTAAGGTACAACTTGTTGGTAGATACTAATACAAAAGAATTCTTGTATATATTTTATAAGTGATAAAGGTGATTTTTATCTGAAATTCTTGGACTTTTTGCAACAGAGGCTACTTTTCTGGCCAGTAAGATATCATGCCATTGCTTGACCCTATCTGTAATGGGTATTCCTTTAGTCTTAAGTACCAACTATTCCCAACAACCTTCGGCAAAGTTTTCTTTCTTGTTTTTAATTAAAAAACATTTTCATTGCAAGGTGCAAAATGGCTGGCAAATTGCATAGAGAACACAAGGCACTACCGGCAGCAGGACTTCGGGCGCCATTTTGAGTTGCTGGCTTAACGAGACACTCACACAGCTGCAGCCACACTCACACCGACACACACACACACACACCTACAGCCACCCACACATACAGATGGCAAGTTAGTAAGCGACTGCGTTTTGTTGTTTGTTGAGCATGTCCTTTTTCCTTCCTCGCCTCTGGTTTTCGTTTTGTTATTTGTTGTTGCCCTTAACAGCACCAGAAACAAAGAGAGAAAAAACTTTAATTAAGTTTTCAGGTTGCTGGTTTATTTTTAACTCGAGTGCTTTGCATACTACGAAACAACAAACAGCAACCGTGAGTTTTGACAGTAGACTGTTATTTATAAGGGCATTTAGTTGCAGATTTTTTCCCACATGATGGAAGCTTAGAGCAAAAGTTTGCCAACACATATGATGAAAGGCCAAAAATCATGGGGGCTACAGTACGCAGCTTAGGCAACAATAATTCATTTTGCATTTGATAAGCTTAAATATAGTTTTAATTAAAGTTTGTTTCATTCATTATGAATTTTTGACAACCATAATTTGGAAGGGCTTAAAACGATCTAACTTTAAATTAGATTTCTTATCATTATGACAGCCACTTTTAACTGGTTTAACTCTATCATTCGTAATCTCCAGTTAAATCCTTTTCATATGCACCTGCAAGTCGAACGACCAGCTGTTCCCTGCCTTTTGAAAAAGATAATACTCCACTGATTGTCAGCTACCCGATCCGCCCAACTCATTTGCATTTGTCAGTCGCATTATATGCAACCATCTTGGCGTCCTGCTATTTTTGCACCATCAAATGGAGCGGCAGACCCGTCGGCAAGGATCCATTTAACTTGCAATTTGTGCAAACGACTTACAATTGTCGCAGACAATTTTGCCGTTTTTTTTAAGTCAGTAGTGGAGAATGGAACGTTAAATCGCAAATTTCTACATTTCATCTTTATTCTCCCGCTTTGCTCTGTTCTCAAGCTTAGCGAACCAAAAAAAAAAGAACAAATGGGAACACAAAGACCGACAAAGAAATGAAATAACTGAAAAAATGAATAGAATCTGTTCTTAAATACAAAATCTCAGGAATTTTTTGAAAATATTAATGTTTCAAACTTTATACAAAGGAACAAAATGATTAAGGAAACTAATACTTTTCAACTGAATTAATTAACAATTTAAGTCAAAAACACTTATAATTGATGTCTATTAAGCCTTAGGTGAGTCAAACAATCAGAAACAAGTATTTTTTTTATTAGTAAATATATGTTGTTATTTTAAAAATGAAGTGAATCTATTGGGAGATAGATTAAAGCAGTTTAAATATAAAATATACACAAATTCTATAAGACTAGGTATTATTTTAACAAATCGAAATATGTAATATATTGAGTCATTTTGTTCTAAAATAAAACAAAACGTTTTTGTTGTTTTTTTTTTGGGCCCTGGATAATTTATTGTGCCTTAAAATTAAGGTTTTCCTTGAAAATCGATGCCAAATTGCCCGGCAGAACGCTTTCCCAATAAGGGCTTTCCATCTTGTTCAGTTTCAGGTGAGGCCTGGCAAATTGGGAGCACTTTTCCTGGCCAAATTCAAGCACTCGTTCACTGCGAGATAGGGATCGCAGGTGGGCTGATGGCCAGGTATTCGACTCCGTTCCGTGGAAGTGCGAAATATTTTCGCTGCGATTTGCATTTGTTCGCGGGGTATTCATGGGTAGGCAGGGGCAGGCAGGAGGCGTGGCAGCTCCAATTGGCGCCGCACATAAATGCAAATGCAAAAAGTGGCCCAGGGGCGGTGGTTGGCGAGGGGGTGTGGCAGCTGGTGAACAAAGTGTGGCATACATTTAGGCGTCGCCGCATGCAAATGTTTGACGTTATACAATAATAAAGGCAAAATCCGTGGCAAAGCGGGACCCACACAAATATACACATCATACACATATATATATACATATTTTTATTTTATTTTCTTGGGCTTATTCTTGCGACGTTTTTATTTCCCTTTCTGCTTGCTCAGTTTTGCATATTTTTCTTGTTCAATTTTTATCGCCACGTCGCCGACGACGGAAATGTTGCGCAAATATTTGCGCTTTTATGTGCATAGCAAAAACCTTTACCCATTTTTTATGCCATTTTCCCCTCGACTTGGAACCGTTTTCCTCGCATTTCTTTTTGTGCATTCAGATTTTCGCTTTGCAGATGCTTGTTGTTGCTTCTTTTTATGATTTACTTGTGCTTTGTGTTTGTACTTTCGTTCGTATTTGTGTTTGTGTTGGTATTGGAATTTGTACACGGTTAATAAGTTTAATAATTATAAACAGAAATATAATTTCGAAATAATTTTTTAGATTTTTAAATATTTAATATCTATATTATATATTATGTAAGATATATAAAGTAGCATATCGGAGATTTCCTGTCTATATATTTATATATATTTGATTTGAGATAATGCAACCTTCTAAACTTTTTGTAACATATTCTATAAAATTGACCTTAAAAAACAGCCCCAGTTTTTGTCTGTGCATTGATGTGTATACACTGTTGCAAAGGTAAATTGGATTGAGAAATTGAAATCGCATTCAGTGGCAAAAGGGAAGGGCGGTGAAAAATAGAGGGCGAGAGCAAAGGAGATAGAGGAAAATCTTTTCCGTTTTATTTACGTTATTGATTTTTTCTTTTGTACAGGTCGCTCTGTGTATTTGTGCACCTCGGGCTGAGATAATCGAGCTGAAGTTGCATTTTCCACTTTGGTGGCAGAAAGTTTAATGGATTTTCCTTTTTATTCAACTCCGAAAAAGTGTGCTTTAAAAAGTTTTCAGCTCCCACTTATTTTCCTTCGTACACCTGCGCCTGGCATTTGTTTGACCAACTTCGGCCTGACAATCCCCCAACATTCATCAAAGTCCCTCGTTAAAACCATTTCCATGTTCGCATTTTCCCAAAACAAATTGTCAAACATGAAACTTTCGTCTCATGACGTCACAACTAATTAGAGTGAAGTGAGTGGAAATTCACTGCCAGTTTTTGTTGCAATGGCCTGCCTAATTAGTTGATTAAACTTGGCCAAGCCAAGTGTCATTTGCCAAGGAAATTCTTGTTAAAACTGGAGGGCTATAGTTTGGTGTGAGATGTCACAAGCCAATTAAACATGCAAATTACAATAATTACAAAAAAATTAAAAAGAAAACCAAATGCTAAACTATTTTTATATATTTGTTTATGATAAATATATTGTTTTCAATTCCAATTAATATTGTAATTTTTGCACAAATTTATTGTTTGTATTTCACAAACCTTTATTGCGTTAACTTTTGGTGATATGTAAATAAATAAATGAATAACACTTTTTTCAGTAATACAAAGGGTTATTTTTTATCAATTAAAAGATTTTTTGCCGCAGGGTTTAATTATAAAATACCATAACAAATTAAAAACTCCCGATTGCTTGACTTGTAAATATTTATTCGGTAATTTCAATATTGAAAAACTATAAATCTACGACAAACATGTTCAGTTATTTGGTCTTGTGTGTGTATGTGTGGTTTTTTATATGCAAAATGACTTAAGTACAAAAATGTTTCTGTTCGCTATCGGTGCAAACGTGATGGTAACCCTAACCCAAGCACCCAAGGCCAGATGCCACATGCCACATGCCACATGCATCTCAACAATGGCGCTGCATCACCCGGTCCAGATCGTTCCAGCTGCAGGAGTAGTCGATCTGGAGCAGACCCTTCTTGCTCAGTCCGAATTTACGGGCGTAAATTCCCGAGTAGAGCGACGAGTCGCCCCCGCTGGAGTGGGGCGATGAGCCCCTGACCCGGGCTCCATCTCCCCCTCCCCCTCCCCCTGCGCCCATGGTTCCATAGAGGGTGGAGGGTGCGGCATAGATCTGCTGGTGACATTCGCTGCAATCCGGTATGCTGCAGTACGGCAGTGTAGCATAGGGATTGCAGTAGTCGTAGGCGGGCGACAGTGGCGGCGGGGCGGGAAAATCGATCTGAGGGGGAGCCGACAGTGGCGCCGACTTGCCACTTCGCTTGCGCCTCGGATGAGGGGCAGTTCCATAGTTGTTGCTCTTGCCGTTCATCTGACTGGGAACGGAACGACGCTGCAGGGTGGCCGCCCGTCTCTGAAGATGGGGCTGCTCATCCCCAATGGAGGAAGGGTGCTCCGTGGAACTGGTACTGGAGAAGCCTGAAAAATAGCGATGATACATAAGAACACTTTAAGATACAAGGAATAGTCAATAAAGATTTAAACTTATGAATACATTACTCAATTAAGAAGTAGAAGAATACATTCATTCATTTAATCAGGTTTTATTATATCGAGCATATGTTTAAAATATGAGTGAAAAATAAAACATCTGTAATAAAGTATTTCAATAAAATGGAAAATGAAAATGCAATTTGCAATAAACAACTAGAAAAGCACAATTATGGTCATGTAATTACAAAAAAACTAGATTGAAGATTATAGTAGTTTTTAAATGAAATACAAAACGCCGGTGACTAAACATTGCTATCTTGTTATCTAAATCTAAATCTTGCAAAAGAAAAACTGTATGAAATGGAATTTGATTAAAATGGAAATTGAATTGTTTTAATAAGAAACTCATATATATGGAAATGCAATAAGTTAACTAACAAAGGAGACAAGAAAAGCTTAATTATGAAAACTTTGATGTAAGATTAAAAAACAAAGCATCTTGTAAAGCAGCAAATGGAATTATTAATTAGGTCTCAATCAATATGACATGAATTAAATATCAGATGCAAATCTGTATGCATTTGTGAGAAGTATAAAGGAATTCGCAATTAATAGCTATTTTACCCACCTCCAAAGCCATTGTATAGTTGGCGCTGCTCCTCGCCATACAGGTCCTCTGGGTGCTCCTCCTCCTCGTCGTTGTCCAGTTGCAACTGCCTGGTCATGGTGGCCATGTAGTCCTCGTAGCGACTGGGTGCTCCGTATATGTCGCTCCTGGCCGTGTAGAGTGGCTCCTTGCGGGCACTTCGACTCCGGCGACGAGTCCTTTGGGGCACACAGCACTCCAACTGGCATTGGGCACGCGACACGCGACGGCTCTGTGTGTGGGGGCGTGGCATAGTGGCGGACATGCCCACGCCCACTCCCACTCTCATTCCATAGCCGTAGGTGGGACTGGGGGTCAGGGAGTTGCCGCCCCCGTAGGCAGGTTCCACTGCCTCCTGAAGACCGGTGACATCATCGATCTTCTTGCGTACATAATCATAGTTTTCCAGATCCCACGGATCCACATAGCAGCGTTGCGAGGGCAGCAAGGTGGTTCCATAGATATCCTCCGTGTTGTCAATGGTGTAATAGGGGGATTCCAGGGCACCCACTCCCTCGGTGGAGCCACCGGGTAACGCCTGTTTGGGACCGGCTCGACGCCTTCTCGGTGTGGTTTGACTGCGTTCACGCATGCTGGAAAAAGTCAACAAAAAAATACCCATAATATTAGCCGAGAAAAAAAGCACAGAGAGAGAGAGGGGTGGGAGAAAATCATGAGCAAGTGCATCAACTGGTTGGTTATGCAACGCACTTTGCAGTCAATACTGAAACTCTTCCGTCAGCAAATCGAACCCGTTCTTCGTCGCTGGCCGCGAATTTTCCGCGGCATTTGGCCGGCTCACCTTGCACACCGGCTCTATATCTTTTGCAGGTGTTACACTTCACGACTCCACTGCAACCATTAGCCGGTTTATGGATCTGCATAACTTAGCATGGCCAATCAATTGGCATTTCAATTGCCAATAGCCCACGGTACTCCATTAGCCGATCAACTGGTTTACTTTAAAAGAAATTCACTCGTTGGCATCATCAAAATCAAATTTGCTATCAAAAATATCTATTTAATTAAAAACTGAAATGGAGCCAGTCAGCAACAGCAAAATTTCAATAAAATATGCAAAACAAACCAAGTGGAATAAGTGCACTGAAAAATAATTTGCTAGGAGAGAGGGCTTCGAATTTTCATTGGGCAGACAAGGTTAACTAGATTTTTGATGGGTTTGTCAGCGGCAGTTAACAAAGTTATATCTATAATGGAAATAAACCAGGCACAGTTTTTCGATTGGCAGTACAAACAAATGTGTTTATTCAACAATAAAGATAATCTCAAAATGTAATAAACGAAAAAAGCTAGAATTGGCTTACATTTAATTAAATCTCTGGCGTCCACTGAATGAAAACAGTTCAATATTTACAATCTCTGCAAATATTATTATTTCAGCAAAAAATTACATGAGTCTGGTAACAAAACAGCCTGAAACAATCAGAAATATTTTCGTATGAAATGGTTATTTATTTCCACTTTTTAAAGCTCATATTTTTTGTGGGCTTTGGATTTTTTTTTAGTTTTTTGCCCCTTAGGTATTTCTTGCAAACGCCCATTCGAAAAAAGGTTTTGCGCAATCTTTCCGAGGCATTTGTAATTTGTGCATTTGCATAAAAATGCCGTGTTTTCTTTGTTTTTGGCTGTTTTGTTTTAATCGCTTCGGTTATCGATTAACATTTGTATGGCTTCGGCGGGCAAAAAAAGTATTAAAAGGTTTCAGATGGGAATATAATTTATAAAATACACAAAATATACGGGAAAAAAATAACAACGTGACTTGGCTGTGGCATGCCAATGAAATCGTGTATCTGCGGGTCCAAACACTTTTTATGGCATAAATCCAAATATTTAATATACACACAAGCCCATCTGAATGCAGTTTCAGCAATTTACACGCAAGGGGAAATAGTTTAGGGATTGTTTTGGGCCTTAGTCATGAGCTATTTATAATTCAAACAAAATCAATAATGCATTGTGGTACGAGTAACATAAAGTTTCAATATTTCAATGGCTAAAATGACTAAAAGTTTCATCAATGAAAGGATTGTTTAACAACTTTGCTACATGTATATTTAATGGTTAGTCGGCTCTTATTAATTTTAAATAAACATCCTAAATTGTTAAGTGAAGAAAATCAATTCTTTGCCTTAATAATTGTTCTTGCGGGGATTACGTATACGCCACTTGGCACTTAACCATGGAAAGTTAATTGCAAGCGCAGTGTTTAACCGCAATTACAGTCGAATATGCATACGGAACCACTTATGGCCCTAAGGCCCTCTTAATTAATTGGCATCTTTGGCCGAGACTTCCACTACTTCGCGGTTGACTGATTGCCCCGGTGAACCTCAGCCTCAGATTCCTCTTAACGCAAATTGCCGCTTTGACTTTGGCTTCTGGCCATTTGCATATCAAATGTGTCAAGTTCGCGTCGAATTACTTTGTGTAATCAGTCGAATTTGTATTGGTTGGGTGATTAATAGTGGCTTGCCTCCTGAATTAGGCTTAAAGTTGAAGACATCTATCAATATTTATTTGATTTCCGGAAATTTTTATTAATGTTTCGGTAGACAGATACTTTGAACATTATTAAATACCTTTTCAGGAAAACCTTTTTGGTTTAATGCCATAAAGTCCTAATAAAAGCTAGTAAAATCTTATGTGTAATTTCGAATCTATTGTATTTGGTAAAGAATGTCTCAAAATGTAGGAACACATTTTACTTTAGTAAACATCAAAAAAGTATTAATAGTCTGAGGTGTTACCAAGCAATCGTTTATGGAATTTCGGATATACTTGGTTTTTACGAAAAAATCAATTAAGGTAATAATTAACAACCTGTTCAACTTTTATTCAGCACAAATTATGCAAAAAAAGGTATAAATAACATAAATATTTCGACATCAAATTATAATGAAAAAATAACTGGAAACAAGTTTGGCAAATGCCAGACGACCTTGTTAAGTATTCGAACATAAATATTAATTCGAGTGATATCATACCCAAAGGCGGATTTACATGAACTGAATCAAGAGCAGGGTGAAATTAATTCATTAAGAGAATCTGCCGCACCCCCAAAAAAATATGCAAGATAAACAGAAGTTATGTGCGTGAATCACCTGAAAAGAACAGTTCTGTCGCATACCTGGGCGTAAGGCCCTAAAAGGTGATCACTACACTTCCATTGCATTCGAATTGACATGGGGAAAACCCACGCAGATGATCACTCAATCTTGACAAGCCCGCAAAAAATAAACGACTGAAGATACACCTCAAAAGATCTGGGGACCCAGCCCACATATAAACGCAACTTTCTTTGCTTTTTTGACACAGTTTCCTAGGTAGTTTCATTCACCTTTTTTGGTTAGGGGATATAAATTTGAATTTGTTTGGCTGTCGGTCACTTGTCACTTGCGGTAGAACTCTTTTTATGGCCAACTTCACCGTTCTTTAGCCAATAATTTAATTGCGAATTTTAGGCACGTTCGATCCGTACATGATCCACGCGCATGCGCAACCGCGTTGTGTTCGCTTCTTCGACCGGCGCTCAACTGTTTTGGCCAACGGTTTGGGCCAAGTTTCAAGCCAGTCTTTAGCTCTTGCCTCGCAGCATGTTCGAAGTGGTTTGATCCTCAGGTTGCAAGCGGTTCGTTCGCTTGCCAATTTCCATCAAATTAATTAGAGTTTCCCATTCGGCTTTTATGGCTTTGACTAAGTGTAATTTCGGGCGGACTGCAAAACTAATTAACAGTAAATTAAAATGACAGCAAGTGATTATGTCACAGTTGTAGAGCTCCTCAAAGACACATTGATATGCAAATTTGTGAGTCGTTAAAATGCGGCTGCGACTGCGCCAAAGAAATGCCAAAGATATATCAAGAATTACACAACGACTTGAAATTGCTCTTTTAAGATGAAGTATATTAATAATAGTGTTTAATAATAACAAAATTTAACAATCATCTCTTCGAACAAATAATGCTGATTCACGAAACTCTTAATATTATTATACACTTTTAATTGAAAACTTTCAACTTAATAGTAAAGTAAAAAAAACAACCTTGGTTAGAGTAAGTGGTAAGTAGAAAAAGCAGCTGCCAAGTTCAAGTTTTTTTGTATTGTGGCTAGGAAAGAAATTGAAATGGTTGCTGAGAGAAATTACATCACCTCAACTTCAACTTGAACCGTCATCTTTGGGTGGGGCAATATTCGCCGCCTTTGAATCCATGAAAAGAAAACAGGTGATGAGCATCATTTCTCATTCAAAAATAAATCCCGAATAATTTATGCATTTTTTCCTAAGCTACCAAAAGGTATTTATAAAATAAATTGTTTGAAATAAAACTGAAAAAAGCTTTCACTTTCAATGCGGTGGCGGTTTGGGTATTTTTTTTGTGGTAGCCCAAAAATCGTGCCGATATTTATGGTGTTTATTCAGTCAGGTCAGTTATAATTTATTTTTTTGTGGTGAGTGTCGAGTGCAAACAATCAATTGATGGTCTATAGGCCAGGCCAAAAACAATTCAATTAAGCCAGCTGAAGTGACCAACAGTTTGCGGTCAGATATGTCACTAAAAAAGGGAATAAACAAATAATTGTTGTGGCTATTTTTGAAGACTTACGCAACTTATACGTGCATTGAAATACTGTCGAGATTATTATATAAATTTATGAAAATTAAGAATATACAAATAAGGTATAGTTAATAGAAAAATGTTTTATTGAGGCCTAATTCAGAATTCATCTAAATGTGGTTCAATTGAAATATTTCCTGGAAACTAAATGTTAATTTTAATATGTAATTTATATTATTCTTGGACAACAGAAATAAAGCTTATAAGCAGAATAAATATGAAAAAAAAGCTTATATTAAAATTGTCTTAAAGTAATTCTGCTTCACTGCAAATAATGTGAGTTTCTTGTTAGTCTAACAACATTGAACATTCGAATGTGATTTGGATTTCTGGTCACGAACGTTTAGCAAGAAGTTGCGTTCACTAGGCATCCTTTTAGTTCATTTGGCCACCTTCCAGTTCATCAAGCCCACATTCCTTGCCATAGAACACATGTATGTATACACTATATATGCCCCCATTCGGAGGCTCCAGAGCAATTTGCCGCTTTTAATGGCGAATGCCGTGTTGAGACTTGCAGCACACGTTGCCAACGCACAGGAAACCGGCTGCACCTGGCCACCAAAAGGGGTGGTGGCTAAGAGGGGGTGCGGGGGCGGTGGCACAACCAGATGTTTGCCTTTGACTGGCGGCAGACTCGTTGATCTCTGCTCCAATTCCAATATGTGTGTGCTCGGCTTTTTCCCCCGGTATCTTTCATGTATTCGCACCGGCGACATTGTGCAACATGCTCTTCGATATGGCAAAAAACCCCGAACCACCATGCAGCACCACCCCGCAAAACCCCTCGATTGCACATTGGTCTGATAATTAATCCAACATTTCAAAATATTTGAAATAAATATGACAAAACGTAGCAATTTTTAAAGTATTCTTGGTAGTTGTGTGAAAAAATGGTGAGTGTCTTAAGCCTAAAAAAACCCATTTAAGTGTTTACAAAATGTTAATGATAATAATATAATATTTAAATCATTATTAGATTAACTATTTTGCAAGTTAATGCAATTAACTATTTGTTTTTTAGTGGAATATTAGTTTTAAATAGACCTTAAGCGATGTTGCTAGAGGAAACTGTTTATTACATCTCGGTTACAAAATATTTAACATATTTTAGCTAAGCAACAATTCTGGGAACTGTGAAGGTAAATGCTATATTTTTTACGCCATAGGTCTACCATTTTTAAAGGAATTATATTACAGACTAATGATTCAAAAGAAATATAAATGGGCTACTAGACTACTTAGATTATTTCAAAACTGTCTATATGTTAATCTTTTAAAAAAAAGTTAAGAGTCCACGATTTAACTTTTTTTTCTGCTTTTCTTTACCTTATTTTAGCAATCTTTTTCAGCTTAATTTGATTTTATTTATTTTTAGTAATATTACTTTGTTGCTAAAATTACTGCAACCAATGTGAATTGGCAACAGCTGCAGCGAGCATTAGAGATGCTGAGTCGCAGATTGCGCTGCACCCAAGCCCAATCCTAAACCAAAATCCGAATCCGAATCGGGGTACGAACCGAATCGAATGGCTATAGCACATGTTTCTCCTTTGCTCTCCGCTTGTCACTCGGCTTGCCACTTTCGATTTTTCATAGCTCGCAGTCGCTATTTTACTTTTTTTCTGCAACTCACCTCCAATCTCCCTCCACTGGGGCAATAATTGTAAGTGGACCTGGGCATTTATGGCGTTTTTACTTCTTTGGCCCCATTTGGCCAACATGTTGGACATTTTGCACGTGTTCAGCCCACAAAAGGGGAAACTGGCGAATGGTAGAGAAACAGGGAAGAAATATGGCCGGTAATTGTGTGCTTCCCATTTGATGTGTCAGCAAAACGCTTTTTGTGGTTCTTTTAGCCATTTTCGGGACAATTGTCAGCTAGGAAAAGGCCTTTCCCCCCAAAATGTTTGTCATTCACCTTCAAGTGAATAATTCAAACCTGTATTAATCATTTAAGCCTAGATATGAATGCCTAAATGAATGTTTTGGGTACCTTAGTCAAGGGATTTTGTCCTTTTTTTTGTTTAGGAAAATGGGTTTTGGAAAAAAGTAATCATATTTTTAAATGGAGATTAAACAGAGCTTTTTAATTTATTTGATACCTAAATCTATTTTCCATTAACAAAGTATGTTGCCATGGTTTATTTTACCCTGAATTAGTATGTTTTAAAAACACATGCACCAAAGACAAACATAATTATGATTAAATAACATAAATTACAGCGTGTTTAAACTTGACACGGTTCATTGGTTAAAATATCAATTTTATTTTGATTTATTGTTAGTACAAACCATTTATTCTCAACCATAAATCGTATCGATAATCCCTTTTTTGGGCTCAGTTGAGCGACCCAACACAATGGCCCATAACAAAAACCATTAAATTTGTATTTAAATCCACTCATTGCTCAATCTGCTTGATGATGCAATAATACCTAGTACTGCAGGCAGACATCGGGGCAAAAAACCAACGAACAACATGAACATCAGCCGCAGCATCATCACCATCGACATCTGACATGCCGAGGGCCAAGTATCGCCTCCATCGCCTCCATCTTCCACGTCGTCTTCATCTGGGGCTCCATCTTCCTCAATCACTGCTGACGCACAGTTCAAGTGGCACTGGCACAAATCATCTTAACAAAAATCCACATATATAGAAAACAGCAGCAAAAAAGTCTGCCACAACATGAGCTAGACATCATTTGAGGCAATCTGACATAATTTGCTCTAAATAGTTTCTGCCTCTTGATTGTTTTTTTTTTGTGGATTTTGTTCAGGTTTATGTGGTTTTAATGCTCTTGTAGTGGAGTATATTCTAAGGGCAAAGATGTTTCGTTGATTACACAAAAGATATTTCTTGAGGACCAGGAATAGGTTGTTAAATGTATCTGATATTAATACTATTTTAAATTTTAATACAATATATTGTTGAAGCTTATGTATATCTGCATATTAAATTTAAGCCACTTTTAAAGTGACATACCGCATAAGACTTTTGTTTTGATTCTCCAAAAATCTGCATTTAAATTTGCTATTTTAAGCCTGATCAATGTTTCGACCTATTTTCATGTTAGTTATTTCTAAGTTTTTTGAAGGCTTGTAAAACGGTGTCCCACAATTAGACATCTAGAGTTCAATACTTTACCAAATTTACCAGATTTCGAACAATAACTTCGATTTTTATTTGAAAAATCTGAAATAATAGTTATTTAAAGTTTTCATAACAAAATTGAAAATAATGTAACAAATCAAATATCTAGATTACTTTTTAAGTTTTTATCAATCGCACAACTATTATTTCCAGTCCATTATACATTTTCGTCTTAAATGCTATATTTATTAGGATTCTTGCTTCGCAGAATTGTTCTCCGTGTGAGAACTTGTAGAGACAATTTTTCATGTCAGGCTCACACCCAAAAAAAAGCAACACCCCTGCACAAAACCCACATACATGCAGTGCGGATACGCCCATAGACACATCTTGCCCGATGATGCCTCAAGTTCAAGATACAAAAACATATTGCGAGCAGAAAAACAATTGCCGCGTGTGTATGCGGCTGGTACTCGTACTCGTACTCGTACATTGTGCATTGTTTTGGCCAAGTAACGAAACATTTTTTCCCGCACTTCCGCATCGGCACAAGATACATGGCACTGGGGATACACCGAGATACATTGTTGAGGTACGGGTAGCAACAAGTCCACGTATAAGCCATTGTCTTGGCCGGAATGGCGTGGTTTTTCTTTTCTTTTCTTTTAGTTTTTTCCCTTAGCGCTTATCACACACTTCATTAATTTTGTTTCGCTTTTCATTGCTGTCGGTAATTATGGTTACAGTTATGCTCGGGTATCCGAGCCCGAGCCTTCGAGTTTCACTTTTTTCTCAGGTCTTCTTTTTAA